TTTTTTTAACACAGAGGGGCGAACGAGCATGCTCACCTAATGGTAAATGATTACCGTCGCCCAATATCATCCACAACACCAGAGGCATTGCAGATGTCCTGCTGGTCTTTTAAAAAAGAGTATGCTCTTGAAGGTTCCAATGTCGTATCGGTTCGGAAATACTGCTGCTGAAGTTGATTCCAAAGAATAGTTTTTTTTTTTTAATTAAATGAAAATGGAGTGGTAACCCCGCCTGCGCTAATGGGATACGCTGGCGGGGTACCAGTGAAGGATGGAACGATAAGGATGAAAACAGGCCAGTTAGCCCATCATGACGAATTCATCAGGAATTAATCATGATAGTTTCCAGGGGGAACCGCGAGGTGGGTCGACCTGGTTAGGTATATTGCTAGCAATGGGATTCTTCGTCTCCATTACTAACAATCCATTTTCCCCCTCCAAAGAATGGTTGTGCGTGGAAGAAAGTGCCTTGAATAACGCACGGTGGAATCGTTGTTTAATAGTACGCCCACACGGCCATTCCGTTAAATATATTAACGTTAGAACAGGAATAGTATACGAAACTATAAATTCGTTAACACGCATCAACATTAATCGTTAATTTAGCTTTCAACGCGCCGACTGCGTCACCGTAATAGGACACGATTAATACCGCCCCCTGTATAGTGTCACTGGAATAGCTGTGATTTAAATCGACATTAATGGATGTTTAATCGTTATTTATCCTTCTAGCTTTGTTCTATACGTAAATATTAGATTTTTTTTATACAACTTAATTTGAGGAATAACACCTTAGTCCTCAGGAATGGCAATACATGTGGGTATCATGGGCGAAACAGTATACTCTGTTATATTCAATGCACTGCTCATGTCTATAGGCGACAATTACCACTTTCCATCAGGTGAGCCGTCAGCTTGTTTGCCATTCTAAGTTGTATAAAAAAAATCTTATTAACAGAAGTAATTTAAAACGTAAAATAATGATCAATTTAAAAAGTTAATCCATTGATATCGATCAAATAAAGCGCCAGATACCGCATCAACGTAACTTGCATCGAACCATCGATAGCTAATATAAAATGCATTAAGGCCAATCAATCTTGACACTTGATATCATCAAAAAAGGTATAGTCGGCTGAGCCGTGCGCCGCCGCGCTACGAGCCGGTGGCTGTCACGCTGTGACAAAGGGCGGCGCGGCGTGTTTGATCTTCGTAGGGTTGTCGCGACACTCCCGACAATTTGATGACTTTATTCATGTCTGTATTACCTTGGCCTGTTTATTTCATTGACGGGGAAGGGATTGTTTATTTATTTATGTATTTATTTAATTATTTATTGTACACACCAGTTATTTATAAGAATATGACAGAGATAATCAAATGTACAAAGGCTTACTTTTTACTTAGGTCACTTGTTAGTAACAGAGTTCAGAGATCTAGGTCTAACTTTAGTAAATATATAACAATATGCTCTTTTAGAGTTTTAGGGAAGGGATTATTAGTAATGCGGACTGCCAGTCTATATATCCTATCAGGTCAACCACCCCGCAGTTTTTGCTTTAAATAGACTGGTTTACAAACATTTTTAAATCGTCATTTTTGTATGCATGCATGGTACCAAAAGTACGGAAAGAGCCCGCAAGAAACTCAGTTACACTTTTAAAACTCTGTTAACATTATGTGTATTTATTTAAATGTATGTCTAAAATTACACAGTCGTTAAAAACACATGTATGATCGACTAACACCATACACATTTGTCATTCAAGAAAGCATTAATCCATATATGATATTAAGTATTTTAATAGACTTATTCAGGCTTTTCAGCTCTGTATGTAAGTATTTAAAATACAAGCTATTTATCAGTAAATGTGTTAATTTAGACTTAATTTAAAAAAGGGTCAACCCTACGACGGCCATCTTGCCGCCGTTTGTCGTCCCTGTGATTACGGGCAGCGTGAAACGAGCTCTGTCGTTCCCGTGTATTGATGTTCAGCTGTTGTTTGAGATCTGAATGAGTTATTTTATTGTTTACTGTTGACTAAACAAAATATATACATTTACTTTTTATTCCAGTCAGTTGACCTATCCATGCCACATGGACAAAGGCGGGGGTAACAGTTAGTTTACTATTAGTTAAAATTTGAATATGGCAACACAATAAAAATTAATTAATTTATTCTCACGGCAACACTACACTATGACAAACAATATTGTACATACTTACAGTCAAGAAGCATTATCTTCTTTACTAGTCGGGTAACTACTGATGTGAAGCCCATACACAGACATAATATTTAATGGATGTAGTCAAACCAGGCTAAGGGCTGAATCGTGACTCGTGACGTAACCATTACGGCACTCAAATGGATTGCTCGTGCCCTAATGCTGAGTGACGATGCATTTTGGACTGATTGTAATGCATTGTTGGCGTTTGGCGGGTATGGGCATCATCAATCATTCTGCTTTAAAATAATGGGGTTCGTCTAGAATCTCTTGTGTCTATGTTTGACTTTGAAATGAAATATTTATTTGCTTTAAACAGACATTTGACATTATAAGGGCCATGTGACAAAACTTTTTGGCATCTGTTTAATTGCCTTAAAATTGTAGGCATGCAAATCTTTGTTTCATCAATGCTTTGTTTTGTTTGACGACCTTCGTTGCACAGAAGTCATGTATGCGAATTGTCCTGGTATTTTTTTTTATGGATGATAATGGAATGGTAACCCTGCCTGCGCTACCGGTATATACTAGTGGGGCACCAGTGACGGATGATTGGTGAGGATGAAAAGGCAGGTCAGTTAGCCCATCGTGACAAATTCAAAGATAAATTAATCTCGACGGTTTCCAGGGGGAACCGCGTGGAGGTCGACCTGATAAGGTATATTGATAGCGATGGGGACTAACCTCCCCATTACTAACAATCCCTTCCCTTTGAATTCTCGTTCGGGCGGATATAGAATGGGAACTTATCTAAATTAATAGTGTGTATTATTTTATTTTGGACGTGTGGTCCCGGCATAGAATAGGCCAACCCTTCCTATCCAGTGGGTGTAGTAAGACGCGGCAAAGGGAGAGCGAGGGATGGGCAGCAGCGTCCCTATTAAAACATCTCTAAAGCCCGAGTGCGGTTGCCAATCCGCCTGCCAAGCGTGTCAACTACTGGCAAAATCCCCCAAGGGGGAGGCTTATGTTCAGCAGTGGACAGTTAAAGGCTGATATGATGATAATGATGATGATAATGATGATGATAATTATTTTAAAAACTTATGAACTGTATTATATTATCTGTAGTATAGATAAATAAAATTATATATGTATATATATTTCTTATTGAACTGTCAAATATAAAATCATTAAACTAAATTTCTAATGTAAGTAGTATATTCATTTATTTTAACATTTATTATATGAGTAGATAGGTATTATATGTATTTATAGTGTATGTATATATGTAATATTTTATTATATATTTTAATATTTTATTTAACTGTATATTTGTTTATGTATTAATAGTTGGAGCACTTCAACTGCCCGCTAACGAAATGCTTTCTCACTGTATTGGGCTGACTGGAAGAGATCTCTGTCAGAGATAAGTCCCACCTTGCTCACAATTATTTTATATGTAACTTACAAGTGTAATAAAGAATATATATATATATATATATATATATATATATATATATATATATATATATATATATATATATATATATATAATAACTATTATACATAAAAACAATTCAACTGTCAATCGTTTTGTAATTTTTTTTTCGTTTGAGCTTAGAAGGCATGAACGGTCTGAATATTTGATCACCAGCTCTACCCCGCGGCTTCTCTCGCGTGAATATAAAATATTCTATGTACTAAATTAGGGTATAAATATAACCTACTCGTGTACTAAATTTCATGTTTTTTATACAACTGAGAATGGCAAACAAGCTGACGGCCTACCTGATGGAAAGTGGTAACCGTCGCCTATAGACATGAGCAGTACCATGGACATAACAGAGTATACTGTTTCGCCCATGATACCCCCCATGCGTTACCATTCCTGAGGACTCAGGTGTTATTCCTCCGTACCCAGTAAATTCACGCCATATCCCACCCTTTTCAAACCAAAACACAGCCATGCAAACACAACTGCTTCACGGTAGAAACACGAATGGGACAGAGGTACCCAAGCAATCGACTTTTGTACAAAGTCTCCCTCTGGTTAAAAAGTCATTCAAATCCATTCAGTAGTTTTTACCTGAAAAAGTAACAATTATCCATCCATCCGTAATTATAAAGTTTCGCATTTATTACAATAGGATAATAGAATTAACAATGGTACTGAAAATTCAACTATTTTACTATTCAAAACAATAAGCATAAGTATTTACCTTTAAAATAAACAGCAATGTCAAACACAAAGATGTGACAGTATAGTTAAGATAATAACTCTCATTCAGCAAAAGATACTCAAAGGATTATGGTACTTTAATAACCAAGCGTTATTTGGGGTAAGTAAACCATAAAACGGCCTATTCAAACTTATAAACTTACCCGGTGGTCCTTTGCGCTTAGACAAACACGAATTTTTAAAAAGCAAACCAAAAAATCCACCCGTAATGGGTATTTACGCAATGGTATTATCGAAAATCAAACAAAAGGCAATCGCTCATTTTAACAAACCATTATGTTGTCACAAAGGGAAATGAATTATACAACGACAAACGACAAATTGTGCTCACATGACCCACTAAAAACTCAATAAAACACCCACGCAACGACAATATCGAACTAAAATCATTCGCTCTCAAACGTATGCATCTCAGTCGACGCCTATAAGAGCGCGATGCATATTTTATATAATCCTTTCATCAGAACTCGTTCAAAGGAACCGCTTAGTAATTTTTCTCGAGTGCGAGCGAGACGGAACGCGACAAACGGGGTGTCAAACAGCGGTGGGGATAAGACAGCAAAGCTCCCGCAAAGTACACAAAATGCAAAAATGGCGCGGCGACGAGTGACAAGGTGTTAGGGAGGGGGGGACGGCTCGTCACGAAAGTCAGTCGACCGCCGACAGCCGCGCGTCATACACGTGTACGAGCTGTCTGCTCCGTGACCAGTGTCTTGTGAATGGGATGACGTGCTGACGAATAAAAATTTTGTGTTGTGCTGTGTGTGGATAATTGTTAAGCTGGAAAAGGATCAAGGATTGTGGAGCAACATGCTCACGTCAAGCAATCAATATTTGAGGCCGGATTACCTGTCACCGCTGCCGACAACGGTAGGTTTTGCTTATTTATCCAACGTTTAAATTAAGAATGTAGAGATAACATTTTTTAAATAAACTGAAGCAGAATATAAACAAATTAAAAAAGAAAGATTTATATAAATAAATCTGGATGCAATTTATTAAACATTATCTTATTTAACATTTGTTCTTTTTAAGGAATTTAAAAACAAAATATAAAACGGAATTCGAAATTCAAATGTTAAATGTAAAATTATCTTAAAAGCTGCCAGTACGTTGGCAACAAATTTTTTGTTACTTGAAAAATAATAAGGGACGACCAAAATTTATAATGTCATTTATAAATGTCGACATTTCATCAAAGATTTCAGAATTGTTCTTAGCATTTCGTGTAAAACATCCATCAATCTTCTTTCAATTATATAGTTTTTTTTTTTTTATTAATGAAAAGAACTTGAGTGGCAATTAAATCGAGTTATTCCACTATTATTGAAGGTATAATTAAAGCGTCGTAAACTGTGGTTAATTTACTTTGAATTGTAGATTATCCTACTACCTACACGGGCCGTAAATTATATTTGAAATTATACTAGAACGATTATAAGGTTTATGCAAGCAATGTCGTAAACTAACGATAATTAACGGATGCAAAGATATGCTAATATGTAATAAAATTAAATCTATTGCCTATTTAACGTTAGAAGAATAGAACACTTCATAAAGATTAAAATACTGTTTCGTAACAGAGTAACAAAGAAAAACTACTTTTCATAGCCTTTTCTTACTCGTGTCACGGAAAAAAACTTCAAAATTATATCTTACTTATTTTTGATTCTTAGCCATTTTCTTTTTTATTATAAATATTGATTAAACTCAACAGGTTTAACGATGCAAAGATCTTTTTTCAGTTACGTTATTATATAAAATTCAACGTTCATCAATGTCATTTTCTTTCAAAGCAAATCTTTTATTGGGAATTGTAAAAACTTGTCAAAAAAAATATACTAAAACAAAGTATTATAACAAAAATACGATATTAGAAACGCCGGCGGTAGTACTTGAACCATCTTTTATTAAATTGTAATTCAATTATTATACAATATTATATTATCAACAAATGCTACGTATGTAATGGCAGTATAATGGTTAACTAAATAAAAACATGTTTCATTAAAAATGACAAAAAAAATGTAGAAATTTTAATGATCTCGACTTTTCTATATTTTCGGCTTTCTATCAAATTAATAAAATATTACTATTTGAAATATCATAAACTACAATTATGTTTCTTATTTAAACAAATAATATAAAAATTAAAGAAAAGTATTCAAAATCAGAAATGACTAATAATTGACGTTAAATATATATATATATATATATATATATATATATATATATATATATATATATAATACTAAAAATTTCTATTTTGTAGTTTTCTAAAAACGTATTTGAAGAAAAACAAAACACTTTTACAATAAATACCCACAACTATTTGATAAAAATATATAATATATATATATATACAAGCATACGGCCCACCTGACGAACTGGTTACCGTTATGAACGCCTGCAATACCAGAATACCGCGCGTTGCCGACCCTTACCTTTTGAAGAACCCAATACTGTAGTCTCTTGGGAAATGGTGATAATGATGAGGTGTCAATGATTCAAACTTTATTACTTTAAATGTCAGTTTAAATCAGTGATTGTAGATAGATGAATTCTTCTATAATTGATTAGAAGTATTAAAAAATACAAACAAACATTCACAGTATTATTTTTATATTTCATCACTAAATAAAGTAATTGGCAAAAACATTAACAATTTAAATATTTAATTGTAACTTGTGACTAAATCTAATGTAACGAAACTGGTTAAAAAGAAAAAAAAACAAGTAATATACAAAACTCTATGAAATTGAATATAAACAACGAAATATCGAAGTATCAAAAAAGAGACCCTGCATTACCTGGGATATTCATGTCGCATGGGTATTTTTTACATAACTAGCTCTAAATATTCAAAAATAATAGTTTTTGATAATAGATATTGATTAAAAAAGAGACAAACTAGCTGGAGTAAGTTGTGATGGATAAATAACAGCTGAATGCATAATCAAGTCTGACAAAAAAAAAAATATATAATTCTCACTAAAAATAAAAACTACTAGATAAAGTATACAACATATTTGGCATCAGTAACTAGCACCTGTTAGTTTTATCAATTGCCAATTTTATACAAAATGTCTTAAAATACAAATATTTAAAATATTCTATAGTAAAAACAGTAAATAAATATTATGACAATAAATTCATGGAGATGTCGGTAGGAGCCGCCCTAAATGGACGTATGTTGACTAAATCGACCATGTGCTAAAGATGGGCCAAATCTTTAATTTGGACATTCTACAGCACTCCTACCCGTAACCGGGGAGCGTATTGGAATAGATTGATGAATGTGGAGGTAGTGAAAGAAGTCTTTTTGAATCAAACCATTTGACATTCCATCGTTTCTGCCTACCCTAATGGGAGACAGGCGCGACAGATATCTATGTATGCAAATTAGCCTATCTGTAAATATTTTTTAAAAGAAAATCGACATCTCTAAAAAGCAAAAAACTAAAGTAAATCAAATTAATATTAAACTGTAGTAGTTACTTTAACTTAGTTAAACAAAACTTTAAATCCCCATACAAATGGGGTTTAATTACAACAATCAACATACTTGAAAGGGAAAATGGCATGCATTTACAATTACATATTAGAGAACATTCACTATTTTTTTTTTTTATACCACTGAGGTGGCAAACTATTCTTGTTGGATTTAAAACAAGCTGTCAAATATTTCTATTTGCACCTATTTCGAAAATTATTAGATTCCTATTTTATTTAATGTAAGCTATGTCAGACTACTTACAAAATGAGTCACTATTATACATACGAACTGGGAGATGTTTAGGAGCTTTCCTCGACAGAATTTGCATATAACTTTGAGCATGTCTTTTAAATTAAATTTACATACTTTTAGTACACATTCTGGCTTCTTTTCTGTGTTTTTATTCCTTTCAGTTTAAATCCATTTTTATAATTACTTCTTCTCCTAAATAAATAAAATAATAATCTGACTTTATTACTTAATAATTTACCTAGTTAAGTATTAATAACTATACAAATTAACCAAATATCAAATTAAAATTAGAACCAATACATTAATTCAATCCATATCGCGTCATAAAAATTTTATTAACTGACATCATTATTAAAATTTATTACACTATTAAATTTACATGACGGAAATACCAATGTATGTACACATTCGAATCAAAAATACATAAATTAACATAAATTAAGATAATAAAAAATTGCTCTTTACATAAAATTGTTAATTAAATTAGCGGCAAACAAAAACAACAATTTTTTTCAGACGATGAATCGAACATATCTATATGACGAATGCAGTAAATTAAATGTATTCTTTATTAAAATATTTAACAATAATATCACCTTGTTATACCTTAATTATGTTTCGGGATCAAAAAGAGGTTTATAATTCTACAGTAATGAACACGACGTGACAACATGCCGCAAATTCAACAGCACAAATTGCCCTTTTCACTGCGAGATTACATCATGCGGGAGCCGAGTGAAATGTCAAGCGGGGCCGACGGCTGCCAGACGCGCGGATAATGGCGCGTCGGCCGCGTGATTGGACGCCCCCCACGTCCCGCCATGCCCTCCCGCGGTCCCTTTGTGGACCCGTCACTTGCAACCTCGACCCGACGTTTCATTTCATAAACTACCTCTCTTTGTTGCAGCTCGACGCGAAAAAGAGCCCGCTGGCGCTACTAGCGCAGACTTGCAGTGCTATCGGCGCGGATTCTCCGAACCCGAAGCTGATTTCTGCAGCGGAGAAAGCCAGCAAGAAGTACGACGAGAAATCGGTGATACACATGACGGACAACAAACCCAGCTTCAAGCCTTACGAATCGTGCCTAACAGCGAGAGAAAAGACTAGAACGCCAGAAGATAGAGCTTCAGTTGGCAATTCGCATTCAAAGACCCCGATATCGTCTAAAGGAAGTGCGTCAACCACTCCAGTTCAAGCGCGATGTGGAAGTAATCAGAGTTCGTCATCACAAAGGACGCCACCACCGGCTCATAGAAAAACTCCGTCCGAAAAATCGGATGAACGATCCAGTCCACTCCAAGACTCGCCAGTTCCGCTGAAGTCGAATTCAGATTCTACCAGCAGTTCATCTGCCTCCAAGTTACCGTTCACACCCACCTCCCTATCAACCAGTGCCGACACCAAAGAACATTCGACTTTCAAACCAAACATACCAGTTACATCATCGGCATTCCTTGGAGGATTACCCCCTACAGGATTTCCTCTTCCAATGGACTTAATGACCAGTAGTTTGATGGCTGCACAACATCATGCTCTCAAAAATGGGCTCAATCCATATCTTGCTTATGCAAGGATGAAAGCACCAGGAAGCGATCTAGGCATTTGCAGAGATCCGTATTGTACGGGTTGTTCTTTAAGTTCACATTTGCTCAAGTCTGCAGTGTGTCCCGCTGGGTGCGCGCAATGTGATCATGCCAAAACGCCTTTCCCATTACCAACTGGGCATCCGGCTGCAGCTGCATATGCACATGCTCAATTAGCTGCTCTGGCTGCAGCCTCACAGCTGCCTTTTGTATGCAGTTGGATGGCAGGAGATTCGGCTTACTGTGGCAAAAGATTCGCGACCTCGGAAGAGTTACTGCAACATTTAAGATCTCATACCGCGAGTGGCGAATCTAGTCCTAGTTTATCTATGCTCAGCGCAACGCATCCGTTGTTACAAAGGACATATCCGACACCGCCTTTGTCCCCACTGACGCCAAGATTCCATCCGTACAGTAAGCCGTCTCACTTAGTGTCGTCACCTCCGCTGCCGTTCCCACTGCCACCGCACCCATCGCTGGCAGCGTACTTCCCGTCGTACCCGTTATTCGGGCCACGGCCACTGCACCCTTGAGGACCGTCGGCGCTCCACGCACAGAAGAAGGGGGGCGCCGAGAACTAACGCCCATGCCAAAAGGACTTTCGGAACCGGATAGTGTAAATATATGTTAGTTTAGTCCGGATTTCTAGTCGGCTCATATCATCGACGGACGTGTAAGCCCGGTAGGGCCGCGACAGCTGTGATCTCTCGTAAATAATATTTAGTGCACTGAATACTGTGAGCTCATCTTCAAGCTTGCCCGCCACGGCGGACTTTAATTTTCTAGTTAGTCTAACGAAATTTTTATGTACCAAATCTATAGATTGTAATTTAAATAATGTTTAAGTTGTTGCAGTTAGAATGGATTGTTAAACTGTGTTTGTATTTTTTAAACTGAATATTATTGACCGCGCGTTATTTGGATTCATCGGCATTACATATCTATGTAATTTATATATAATTAGGAGCTATATTTTATGACTGAACGACAATTGTCACGTAGTGGGCCCTTCAAGAGGAAAATGTTACCGCAACTTTAATAATTACTCATTGTTTTTTTTTTTTTTAATTCTCTATTGCTACATTTTTTTCGTAATCGAGCCGTTAAGATCTTAGTAGAATCTCGTAAATGTTATTTTTTTTTTTTTTGTTTTGATATTAACATAGTATTTCTTGCAAAACAGGCACTTTATTATGTGTTGTGAACGAATAAATCACTGTCATAGCATACACACTCGAAAGCTAAATAATGTTATTACAAAGATAAAATGTGAGCGAAACGTACTCGCATATAATTAAAAAAAAAAATTACACTTGCATAATTATCTGCAATTGATACCTGTTGACATAATGTTGTTATAAAGGACATAAAATGAAATAATATACGTAAATATTTAATTTCAATGTACCGTTTTTAATTTCAACACCTGTTCCAAAACCAAACTACTCAAAATGGAATTGATACTAAAAAAAAAAAATACATACTATTACATACTATACTTCAATTTATATTTATTTAAACTTTATTGACCAATAAAATGTGATACAAAAGGCGAGCTTAATGCTACAAGCATTCTCTACCAGTCAACCTTTAGAATGTGCAGAGATACTTGATGGCAGTTTAAAAAATAAAATTATTTATAATTTAGTATAAGATGGGAATTTACATACAAGAAATTACACACAACAATTACAACAACAGATTACAACAATTACAGAAATTACATACGTTTCGCCATTTCCTTACGCTTTTACGAGAAATGTATTTTTTTTTTTTATTGTATGAAAATGGAGTGGTAACCCCGCCTGCGCTAATGGGATACGCTGGCGGGGTATCTAATCTGATACCACTGAAAAAGTGATCGATGAGGATGAAAACAGAATTGTTCTTAAAGATTCAAATAAAATTTTGTATTATTTAATTTCATCATGATGAATTCATCAGGAATTAATCATGATAGTTTCCGGGGGAACCGCGAGTTAGGTAAATGATAAACTGGTTGGGTATATATATATATATATATATATATATATATATATATATATATATATATATATATATATATATATATATATATATATATATATATATGTGATTTCAATCCCTTTCCCCCCGGAAAGTTCGTATAAAAGTGTTCTGGAATGCGAGAAATGTATTTGAGAATGATACGAGGATAATAATGAATAAAGGTGCTATTAAAAAAGAAACCTCAGGCTGTAATAACATATGATGTAGGTAGGACAAGTCGAGAAACGGTTCTTGTGAAACGAAACAGTATCAAAATATTTTTGTTTAGCTGTCTACGAAACATTACTTCGTAAACAATTACAAGACCGATCAAGTCCTTTATGATAGTATCTAATCTGATACTATATGACTACTGGAAAAAGTCCTTTCAATTCTAACAAAATCAATTGGATGGAATAACAATAGAATTGTTCTTAAAGATTCAAATTTGTTGATTAAAATTTTGTATTATTTAATTTCCTTTACTTATTTTAGATAACTTGGATCCATTTTTATTAGTAAGTGTACTTAAAACTATGTTAATACTTAATCACTTATAATGATCTAGTCCTCTCGGTAGGCATTCTCACGACACGTTCAGTTAGTAAATGTTTTTTTTGTATAAACAAATAAATTTATTCATATATATATATATATATATATATATATATATATATATATATATATATATATATATATATATATATATATATATATATATATATATATATATATATATATATATATATATATATATATATATATATATATATAAGTACAAATTATGCGAAATATATGTTTCTTTTTTTAATTATATCATTTGTATGCGCAAACAACATTAAAAGTACAAAGCAGTAACATCAATTTAAGACGATTAACTTGTCGTCACGGTTAATTCGTTTAGTCTAGACACACGAGGACAAATTTAATGGTGTCGTTGTAACGACATATTATTATATACATATATCATACATATATAATAATAGCCACGAAAATTATCATTAACGGTGTCACTTCGATTATCATAAGTGTTAATCGAAGCACGGTACTATATCGATCAATTTTATACAGAGTTAAAAAAAAGGTTTTTAATTCGTGGGAATCTTATTTTTTAAATTATTTTGTATATACATTCCCCGATTACTCGAAGACGCATGGACCGATTTGGAAAATTCTTTTTTTTTTTGTTTGAAAAGATATACTTTTAAATTAGTCTCATCGAAATTTTGACAAATTCATTTTAATAGTTTAGTTTTTAAATCAATAATTAAAACTTAACTATAAATTTCTAATCTGTAAGTATGACCTTTGAGATAAACAAAAAATCAAATCGGTTTATAATTGACAACTTATTAGGATGAGGTAACAAACATAAAAAAAATACAATTGAATTGAGAAACTTTTCTTTTTTTTTTTTTATTCAACTTAGAATGGCAAACAAGCTGGCGGCCCACCTGATGGAGAGTGGTAACTGTCGCCTATAGACATGAGCAGTACCATGGACATAACAGAGTTTTAAAGTCGGTTAAAAAGAACCCATGGTTTAGATCAAAGTTAACTAAAAGTGGGCCAATTTGTTTAGACAATTAGTTGACAATTATAACTACAACATTCATGCTATGTAATTTATCACGGTAGATTATCTCAAAGGGTATATATTTTTTCTGGGCTATGAGTCAAGCGCGCGCGGTAATTAGGTCCACTTCGGCTTCCACGATAATAAATTATGAGCAATTTATATGTCTGTCCGTCGCCATAGATCACGGGTTGCAGTACATTTACTAGCGTTGAAATATTATGAGCAATAGTCGGGTAAAACCACCATTTGTTGACACCTACGTGTGTGTATTCTTAATTCAGTTATTTACGATTATTGTACAGATGTCGCGCGTTGCAATGAATTTACAATTTATATTGTTGGTAACGGTCGTAAATCACAGGTTTGAAGTGTCCGGTGTCGGTGTGTTAATTGCTGGGAAGGAACGGATTGAGTTATTCAACGACTTTTTTTTTTGTTTATAACCGATTCTAGATTCTATATATATATATATATATATATATATATATATATATATATATATATATATATATATATATATATATATATATATACTGGTCTATGAAAAATTTGTTGAAAATCTGTTATCCAAAAAATAATATTGCATAACAGACTTTTAACATATTCGAAAATAGATATCCGACCGATATGAGCGATATTGACATAGGTGACGACCTGTTATCCGGCATCAATGTTCAGAGGTACCCAATATACAGATATCGGATCGACATACATATTATCTATACCTAGTTTTTACAGACAAATAAAATATAGTTTTTTATTTATTCATTAAAAATAATTACAACATTACGACAGCAAAATCAGTATTATAAACCTAGTGTGGTAACACAAAATTATAATAAAGGTATTTAACCCGACTCCAAATATTTCTGAGCCGCTTCCAATATCGGTAGGCTACTACTAAGTATATCAATGATGTATATAATATTATTTAATAACCGTACTGCGTTTTTTTTTTTTACAACACAGTGGGCAAGCGAGCATGCGGCTCACCTGATGGTAAGTGACTACCGCCGCCCATGATCACCCACAACACCAGCGGCATTAAGGGAGCGTGCTGAAGTAAGCTAGTTCTGACTGGACATACATTAATGGAACTATATATTGAGGATCTCAGATATTATAGAAAAAACCGAATCATCTTTAATTCTAAACCGATTTTGAGAACTTTTTACAAACTTTATTAGTGTATTGATCTCTTAAAACATTTACATATACCGATCACGAACAAAATCGCGAGCAAAATATAGCAAATTACTGTTAAAAACATTATGATCACAATAAGTTTCTTTATTGCGACTACTATTCAGTATCTAATCCACTTTCAACTGTCTAACAAGTTAAGAATTGATCGAATTATACCCAAGTCCCCCGCGAGAGTTCATTTACCTTACTAACCCATATTTCAGTTCGGAAAATTGTCGACAGAAATTTATAACGCTCGCCAGTAATTGCTGAATTAGTTATAACTCTAGGAATAAATTATGGATAGAGCAGATATGAAGACAAAAATACGTCCGAATTTATTTTTATATAATTCATTCACTGTTTAACACGGTATTATTTTTTATTTTCGTTCCTGGGGATCTACCACAAATAAAATTCCGAATTTTCGAACACAATTTCATGTTTTGGTTCATACCAAAATCGGCTTACTAACAGGTCGACCACCATGCGGTTTCCTCTGAAAACCATCCTGGTTACCATTAATTTTAGTAGAATTCGTCATGATGGGCTAGCTAATCTACTTTCATCGGGGAAAAAGGGATTGTTAGTAATGGAGACTGAGAATCCCATTGTTAGCAATATACCCAACCAGGCCGACCTCCTCGCGGTTCCCCCTGGAAACTATCATGGTTAATTCTTAATGAATTCATCATGATGGGCTAGCTGGCCTGTTTTCATTCTCATCTATCACCCTTCACTGGTTAGCGCAGACGGGGTTACCATACCATTATCACCCATTAAAAAACCCACGCAAACTGGTTTAATTACCTACCAGATATTGAAATAAAGGACGCCGTATCGTTACATTTTATTATTTTACAACCTTCAAAAAGCCCATTTTCTTAATCTTTAAAATCCTTTATACGTTTATTTATGGGTGTTAACATAGTAACATAAAGTGAATTGAAATTGCACCTAACCACTCATCCAGCAGACGTCGTTTACGTGCCGCTCCTGATAACCGCCATTCAAAGGGACCGCCGCTTTGATCTCGCCGCTCGCCGCCATGACACCGCGACCGTCGGCAAAAAATTACATTTTAGTTTTTAGTTACTAATTGTTTGTTTGTAGAAAAAAAATCGACAATTCGCTAATAATTGGATCGTTAATGTGATTTATGTGTCGGATGCAAAAATATTTAAATATTAAAGGTCAAACAAAGGTCAGTTTGTGATATTTAAAATTTACGTCTATTGCAGTAAGCGGAATGATTAATTTATTATCAATCAATAATGGTTTAAATGATGATAAATTAAGACGCTTTGATCAATTTTAATTACGTCTTAAAAAATAAATAAAGTGGAATTGATAACTTTTTGAAAATTGATTAATTATTTACGTCGGCTTTACTCACTTTTTAAATTCGGGCATGTCTAACTAATTTGTTAGTAGTTTTATTACTAGTTTGAAAATTTGTTAATTTTAAACTTTCGCGTTGTTTAGATAGATAGATAGATACTCTTTATTGTTACCTCCAAAAGATTACAATAGTAAACTTATTATAAATATAAATAATTACAAGTAATAATCACAATGAGAAAACAATGGGCGGTCTTATCGCTAAAAATGATCTCTTCCAGGCAACCTTTG